TTGGAAATTCAATTTATTTATATATATATATATATATATATATATATATATATACATATACTGCATGCTGAAATGCATTTTTTATATATTACAAAATATATGAAATATTTTTAAAAATATATATATTTTAAATATATTCTTCAGATTTTTTTCTAACATATAAAATAGTCATTTTTACATATATTTTTACATATATTTGTAAATCCATTCCGAAAATGTAGATTAAATGTATTTTTAAAGACATACAGTATATCTGAAAATGTATTTTTAAAAATAGTTAACGCATTTCAACATACAGTGTGTGTGTGTATATATATATATATATATATATGTGTGTGTGTGTATATATGTATATATATGTGTGTGTGTGTGTGTATATATATATATGTGTGTATATATATATGTGTGTGTGTATATATATGTGTGTGTGTATATATATATATATATGTGTGTGTGTGTGTGTATGTATATATATATAATTTTTTTTTTTTTTTTAATATATTAAATACGGCCAGAATTGTAGTATTTCAAATATATGTCAATAAATTTGAGAAGAATATTTTTAAAATAGATTTAAAATATATTTTTCTTCCATGTGCTTATTGATATTCTACCTTTGGGTACGAGAACTCTCAACCGTTTCCTTTGCCGGTGATTGATATGGGCTAATTACAAATATATGGGGCTATAGCAGCCTTCCTCATATATAGATGCATACATTAAACAATTAGATTGATATTGGCCCTTGGAGTACTCCTGTGGGCACTGCGGCCTCCTGATGCTGCGCTGATTGCCTGGTCAGTCATGTGAAAACGATGTGATTGGCATTTCTATGTGACTGATTGCCGTGCGTACACCAGGAGTGTATTGATAACAATTTACGTAGCTGTTTGTCAAAGCTGGATGTAAATGTGTGATGTGTAAATATCGAATGTACTCAGGCTATATTCTCCGCAGATCGAACATGTGAACATGTGAAAACACACCATTATGGCATCTGGATGGCGGTGACTATATAGGGTGTTCATGTTTTGACTCTCTTGGGTCACATTGGAAGAAGAGGAATTGTTTGGGCCGCACATACAAATTACTAACAATAAGGATGAGCAGAAAACGTTGGGCAGATGATCGAATTTTAATGTGCTCTGTGCTCAGGATGTGTGTGAACAGTGCAAAGATGGGAGACGGCTGGGCACTGTGTCAGGGGTAGAGGGGAGGTTGTGGGTGGGGGCTTTGGGGGTACAACTGAAATCTGGGGTGGTGGCCCTCCACAGCACTCCTCTAAATTTGGCCATGCAGCACATGTTTGGGTGGCGCTAGCAAGAGACCCTGCATGTGCCGCTGGTACTGTTGCAAACATGGCATCCCCGGGATCCCTCCAGATGTGCCCGAGCCATGCTTGCCTTGGGTGCTATCCCAAACATTGCATTCCCGGCAGCCCTCCAGATGTGTCCAGGCCTTGCTTGCCTTGGGTGCTATCCAAAACACAGCATTCACATCATCCCTCCAGATGTGTCCAGGCCATGCTTTACTTGGGTGCTATCTAAAACACAGCATTCACATCATCCCTCCACATGTGTCCAGGCCATGCTTTACTTGGGTGCTATCCCAAACACGGCATTCACATCATCCCTCAAGATGTATCCAGGCTATGCTTGCCTTGGGTGCTATCCCAAAAACGGCATTCCTGGCAGCCCTCCAGTTGTGTCCAGGCCATGCTTGCCTTGGTTGCTATCCCAAAGACGGCATTCCCGGCAGCCCTCAAGATGTGCCTGGGTCATGCTTGCCTTGGGTGCTGTCCCAAACAGGGCATTCCCATCTTCCCTCAAGATGTGCCCGGGTCATGCTTGCCTTGGGTGCTATCCCAAACATGGCATTCCTGGCAGCCCTCCAGTTGTGTCCAGGCCATGCTTGCCTTGGGTGCTATCCCAAACACAGCATTCCCAGCAGCCCTCAAGATGTGCCCGGGTCATGCTTGCCTTGGGTGCTATCCCAAACACGGCATTCCCGGTAGCCCTCAAGATGTGTCCAGGCCATGCTTGCCTTGGGTGCTATCCCAAACATGGCATTCCTGGCAGCCCTCCAGTTGTGTCCAGGCCATGCTTGCCTTGGGTGCTATCCCAAACACAGCATTCCCAGCAGCCCTCAAGATGTGCCCGGTTCATGCTTGCCTTGGGTGCTATCTCAAACATGGCATTCCCAGCAGCCCTCAAGATGTGCCCAGGCCATGCTTGCCTTGGGTGCTATCCCAAACACAGCTTTCCCTGAATCCCTCAAGATGTGTCCAGGCCATGCTTGCCTTGGGTGCTATCCCAAACACAGCATTCCCATCATCCCTCAAGATGTGCCGGGCCATGTTTGCCTTGGGTGCTATCCCAAACACGGCATTCCCATCATCCCTCCATATGTGCCCGGTTCATGCTTGCCTTGGGTGCTATCCCAAACACGGCATTCACTGCAATCAGTTGAGCAGCTTGTGATTATTTTGGGCTGTTATGTGTCTCACTGGTTGTGGCTGGACTGCTTCCCCCTGCTTTCTGGACAGTTCTGTAAAGCGGTGAGCTGGAAGAGTCAAATCAGCAGCTGAATATTTATGCAGTCCCAGCCAATCCCCAGGGAAGGATGCCTAGATGATGGCTGGGAAGAGGCATAAATAGTTAAGGCATGGAACAGAGTCTTCTTGTCCAGATGGTGGGGATCACCAGCCTGAAGGGCTGCTGCCCTTCTGGACAAGCCTGATATGCTGTTACTGCTCATTGAGGTCCTACCTATGCTAGCTGGCGAAGGTGGGTTATTCTACTGAACATTGCTGGAGCTGACGGAGGGACTTCTTTTGGGGATCTGGTCTGAAGAATTCACAGTAGACATGTCTGACAGATATTGGAAGGAGGCATCCAACTGTCCTAGGACATTACTGAGTGCTGACTAGTGTGCTGCTATCCCTCTTGCATCAGAGTCAGCTGATGTCTCTTGCATCAGAGTCACAGTAGACATGTCTGACAGATATTGGAAGGAGGCATCCAACTGTCCTAGGACATTACTGAGTGCTGACTAGTGTGCTGCTATCCCTCTTGCATCAGAGTCAGCTGATGCCTCTTGCATCAGAGTCAGTCAGTCTTAAAAGTGCACATTGTTCATGGTGTCCCCATGTAGCTCAGCCCACTATTTGCTGCTGCAAGGACTATGCTCAGAACCTCTAGGACAGGGGTGTCAAACTGGCGGCCCTCCAGCTGTTGTGAAACTACAAGTCCCATCATGCCTCTACCTTTGGGAGTCATGCTTGTAGCTGTCAATCTTGCAATGCCTCATGGGACTTGTAGTTTGGCAACAGCTGGAGGGCCGCCAGTTTAACACCCGTGGTCTAGGAGGAAGATAGGTGTCCTCAAGTTACTACTAAATGTTCTTGGAGTATCCCGAGGTTACCCTGCTCCCATCCAAGTTCAAGTTTTCCAATAAAGCATAAAAAAAGAATATCCTTAGATTGGTCATTGAGTCGGAGGAGTGACTGGGACTGTGTGCCGGGCTGCTAGTGTACCTACTGGGGAAAGAACCTTGGGATCAAACCAGCAGGCCCTTTAAGGGGTAAACGCTACATCAGCATCTCACATATAATTGCAAATGTATGCAACGGAGAACTCTGCTTATTTTAAAGGTTAGACCAGGGGCGGACTGACAACTCATGGGGCCCCTGGGCAATAGGGGATCATGGGGCCCCCTGTGTCCAAACTCAAAAAAGCCTATAGAAAAGGTACCAGGGGCATCTCATGGGGCCCTCTACTGACCCCGGGCCCTCGGGCAGTGCCCGAGTTTCCAAATGGTCAGTCCGCCCCTGGGTTAGACTCAGGTTTCCCTTGGGTTCCTTGCTGGCTATCAGTGCTGAATAGCAGGGAATATTGTCTTATGCAGATGTGATTGAGAAAATGAGGCAGGCTCTATCTGACTTGCTGCAGCCTCTAATGCACATTGTGAGGAGCTCACAGTGTGCGGTGAAATCAGAGTCAGCCATTTCAGTCCAGGAGAGGAGCCGGTACAACTGTGGAAGAATGAAGGTAAGGCTGGAGGTCAACTATGTGTGCCATCTTTCTGGGTGGCAGAGGATCCAAAATGCTAATGGCAAGCTCCTTCCATTGTCCACAATGGTCAACCCATTGTTTATTTTAAAATTTCTTTCACAAAATGTATAAATAGTCACGCAGCCCTCTCCCCTGAGCCCATTCCAAAACCAAAGGAATCAATACGACGTCGGTCTTCCCTTTGTTGATATTTGACCACTAGAAATACAGGCTGGTACTCTCACAGCAAGTGTGAAAAGGAGCAGGAACGCTTGTGCCCTCTTGGTCTACCACCCTACAAGCCTGGTTTGTGGCAGGTGGACTATCCTGGTCTTGTCTTATTAAAAATATACAGTAGCAGCTGTGAAGAGAGCCACTGATCACCATCTTGGCATTAACATGGTGGTTGCATGACTTTGTTTATTAACAAAGCCACATCACACAATGATGGCTTCTGATGTGGTTTTGTTTGCGAGCAAAGCCACGTCACACCACAATGGGTAATGTGTTTTGTTTTTTTTTGCAGGGCAACATGGTGAAATTAGAGGCTCATTTTGTTGACATTTCAGAGAATACAAATTGTGTTTCAGTTGCAAATTCAAATTCGTCAAGATCTCCTGCTCATTCCTACACTGAATCTGGGTTCTCAGCTCCACCATACAGTATGCTTTGAAAACAGAAATCGCATGACCAGAATCTTTCAAGAAGCAGGAAAAGCTACTAGGTGAATCAACCAGATGGCATCCTGCCATAATGGAGATATCCATTTGGGTGGACTGACTGTTCAATGAGTCAGTTCCTGTGGTATTTCAAAAATGCAACATATTAAAAAAAAAAAGTCTATATTGGATTGCAGTCATACTCTGTATTTCTGATATCCACAGTCCAGAGATTTATATATCATTAAGTGCTTGGAGTTATTGTCTCAATGAGATGAGACTTGGTCCATCAGTTGGACAGGAAGTCAATGGCGGCTCGGACAGTTTTTGAGGTCTTCACATCCATGGCGGTGACTTTGATCTCTGTGTCTCCAAACTGCATACTTGCTTTAATCTCTCGCCGAAATGTTTTGGCATCACTGATGTCTGGTAAGTCCAGGTTGATGGTGCCACACTTCCTGACTCCAGGATCGGTGATATAGACCACATCATCGGTGGAGGAGCAGTAGATGTTGATGATAATCTTACGTTGCCCGAGGCGGGCCGGGCAGTAGCTCCTCTGAACGATGTCACCGAGTGCCACCGATTGGTCCACCGAGACAAACTTGTCGAAGATGTCCGTGCACCAGTTCTTCCCATCTTTCACCAGGAGTTTCTCCTGTGGATGCTTCCCCTCAACAAACTTATTAAGGACTCCAACACCGTAGGTTAGGGGTGAACGTCGCACTCTCACTATAGTTGGGTCTAGACCAAATAGTACTGCGCCTTTGAGGATGGTCAGGCCAACGTCTTGTGGGATGATGACCCGGCAGATCTCGCTGAAGGCAGTCTGGACAGCATTCTGAAGCATTGGTGACTCTGCAAAACCACCCACCAGGAACAGGTACTTGATGCCTTTTACCTCTGGCTTGTTCATGAGGTCACCTGCAGAAAAGAAGTATAAGCATGTTGTAACTATTGCATAAATACAAACAGCTTTTCCCTCCTATTATATATACATGGTTTGAAAAGTTTGTTGTAGAGGAAACTGAGTGTCCTGCACAAAGCCCTGACCTCAACCCTACTGAGCACCTCTGGGATGAACTGGCATACCAGCTGTGAGTTAGGTCTTCTAATCCAACTGCCTGAACTCACAAGTATTGTTATTACTGAATGTGCAGAAATTCCCAAAGATACTTTCCAAAATCTTGTGGAAAGCCTTCCCAGAGGAACAAGTGACCTGCACAGAGCCTTGGCCTCAACCATACTGGACACCTCTGGGATGAATTGGAATACCAGCTGTGAGCTGACTACCTGACCTTACAAGTGTTGATATGACTGAAGGGGCACAAATGTCCGCAGACACACTCCAAACTTTTGTGGAAAGCCTTTCTAGAGGAGTGAGTGGCCTGCACAGAGCCTTGACTGCAACCCTACTGGATACCTCTGGGATGAATTGGAATGCCAGTTGTGAGCTAGAAGTTCAAGTCCATCTATCTGATCCCACAAGTGTTCTTTTGGCTGAATAAGCTCAAATTTCCACAGACTCCAAAATCTTGAGGAAGTCCTTCGCAGAGGAGTAAGTGGCCTGCAAAAAGCCTTGACCACACCCCTACTGAACATCTCTGGCATGAATTGGAACACTGTTTGTGAGCCAGGCTGTCACGGTCAGGGTCAGGCTCGGAGACCAGAAGCTATAGCAGTAGAGATACGCCCACCAACCAGCAGGCTAAGTATACAAGCAGATCACCCTTGTGGATGATGGAGGCTCACCTGAGATGCAGGTTCTAACAACTACCCAATATTCACCAGAGCTCCTGATGGTGGAGATGTTTTTTGCTGCATGTTAGTACCAGGTTGCAGTTCTCAGGATCACCGCACCAGGAGGTGAGCAGACCAGGGTCCAGTAGCAGATATAACAGTTAGAGATCAAGTAGAAGCGTAGTCAAGGATAGAGGTGCCACCTCATCCCTTTAATACTGAGCACATATTAATTACACAGTTTCTGAGGCTAATTTAATGCAGATAAGGCACTGAGGTTAATTACCACCTTAATCAGCCACAGAACCTGTGTAATTAATATGTGTTCTGTTTTAAAGGGATGAGTCGACTCTAGTTGAGGAACAATCCAAAGGTAGGTATTAAGTGGTAGCGAAGATACGGACAGCAGCAGGAATGACAAGAGTGAGATATTGGCTGGAGAGAACACATTAATCGGGCAAACAGGAAGTGCAAAGACATAGCTTTAATAGGAAGTTCATGGGGGGAAGCAAAGATTTCAAGGTTTAAGAGAAAGAAGGTTCAAGGCAAGATCAAGGAATTGCCCAGGAAGCTGTCCAGCATTCCAGGTGGCTCAGCAAGAAGAGGTGATGCCAGATAGAGCAGAGGTTACAGGTTCAGACTTGGCTCCTGACACAGGTGTTCTCATCCAACATCAGTACCTGACCTCTCACATACTTGGTTGAATAGACACAAATTTCCACAGACACCCTCCAAAATCTTGGGAAAAGCCTTTCTAGAGGAGTGACAGCTGGCATAGCTGCAAGGTAGAGGAGGAAACTCCATAGTATTGGCTTTTGGAATGAGATGCCCAACAAGCTGATATAGATGTGATGGTCAGGTGTCCACCAATCTTCTGCCTATATAGGGGACAAGTTATTACAGAGAGTGGAAATTACTATCCAATCTCCCCTAGGTGAGGCACACTATGGCCTGCATTTTACAGCCCATTCATGATATACAGACTGTGGTGTGGAGCCTGCGGTGCCCCATGGAATATTTTCTACTTACCGCTGCAGAGAGAGCTCCAGGATTGGAGGGGAACAAGTCATATGACTTTGACAGTTCTTATATTCATTAGACAAGACTCCTATTCAGGGGTGGACTGACAACTCATGGGCCTCCCCCGGGCAATAGGGGATCATGGGGCCCCTGTGTCCTTGCCCAAACTCAAAAAAGCTTATGAAAAAGGTACCAGGGGCATCTCATGGGGCCCCTACTGACCTCGGGCCCTTAGGCAGAGCCCGAGTTTCCAAATGGTCAGTCTGCCCTTGCTCCTATTCTTTATTATTGGGCTTCACCAGCTTCGGATTTCCGAAATCCATGGTACTGCCATATTGCTGCTTTCTACAGGTACCCCATAGTGTATTTTAGATGTTCCCTGGCTCTCCTCCCACTAATTTCGTAAGGTCTTTTCCTATTTTTATGTTTTTTTTTTCCAACAATATAAAATGAATTAAAAATTCAAACGATGTTAAAACCTCCTAACGGTTTGCAGACCAGAAATTAAATGATGAGTTTGAAATCTCACCAATGGTGTCACTGAGAGATAGAAGAAACCCATGAATAGTTTAACTCTCCAGCATCTACCCAATAGTGGAATATCAGTTTTGGATGGACTGTGGCCTTTATTATTCAGAACGGCAGACAACGGATATGAAGCTCTCGCCTCGCAGAAGATCCCTTCGGAGCTGTGCTATAATTCTTGCAGATGTTTTTCTCTCGCTCTCAGGGTTGCCCCATACATTATTAATATCGCTTAGACCGTATGCCAGTGAATAATCCGTATCTGTTACATCTCCTGCGGGTGAATCATGGCTCAGTGATGAATCATGCTGGGATATCTCTCAGGACACAATGGAGTAACACTATTCATGTGCAGCGCACGCTGATAAAATGACTGTCTGAGCCCCTGATGGAAAAAATCAACAAGAAGAAAGATGGGCAAACGAGAAAAATTCACAACTCTTCAAATGCTGCAATAAGGCACGTGAAGCAGCAGATAAAATGTTCCGGGGATGGAAGAGGTCTATCAACCCTAACCCTGGAAATACGACTCTCCACCTCCCTGACTCAGCAGTGTATTGCCTCTGGAAATATACTTTGGCCAAACGTTTGGACACCTCTATGAGCTTGTTGGACATCCCGATCCAACAAGCTCATAGAGGTGTCCAAACGTTTGGCCACCTCTATGAGCTTGCTGGACATCCCGATCCAACAAGCTCATAGAGGTGTCCAAACGTTTGGGCACCTCTATGAGCTTGTTGGACATCCCGATCCAACAAGCTCATAGAGGTGTCCAAACGTTTGGCCACCTCTATGAGCTTGTTGGACATCCCGATCCAACAAGCTCATAGAGGTGTCCAAACATTTGGCCACCTCTATGAGCTTATTGGACATCCCAATCCAAAACCATGTCCATGAAACCCCTTTGCTGCTATAACAGCCTTCCCTCTTCTGGGAACACCTTACACGAGATTTTGAAGGGTAGTACATTTACTTACCTTATTCTTTGCTCCCATTGGCGCCTCCTTCCACATGACCCTGAAGCCTCTTCTCTTTGGTGCTCTGTCCGTTGGTTGCATACCTATAGTCCTCACGTTCAATGCAGGACCAGCAGTGCTACATTGTACGTGAGGATGCTGAGGGCCACCCACAACCTGGAGCATCGGAGAAGATAGGTGAGTGCCGGCTGTCAATTGGGGAAGGGGGAGAGAGTGATATGGGGTAAGTAAAGAAATCTTTTATCCCGGTACCCTGGGAGAAAATGAGCACTGAACTCTTCCAGTGCTGGGGAACCCCGTTGCAAGGGTAAAGATTTCAGGTCCCCAAAGGTTAGTTTTAAGGTGGAAATATCTCTAAAAGAGCTCTGAAAAACCTTGCAGTGGTAAAATATTCCTCCCCCCCAAAAAACAATTGTACATACACACCATGTTCACCTTGGTCAACAATCATTGCGGTGTCCTTGTACACGTTGTGGTCTATTTATTCTCGGTGTGAATGCCTCAGCATTTGTACAGCCATCATGAATAATCGCCATAATGCGTCTAATATGTGTATCTCCTGTGATTGCCAGCTCCATCTAGTGGCCATAATATGGGATGTTCCAGGAAAATTCTGCATAATGGCCACTAGATGGAGCGGACGATCCATGAAAATACATATTTAACACACTAAGGGGATTATTCATGATGGCTGTGCAAATCCTAAAGAATTCACACAGCAATTATTTTTAATTAACTGACCCCCTATTTTTTGTCCATCTCTATGGTGAAAGGGGCAGTAGGTTGTGTTTGTACCCCACAGTCACTTGCAGCAGCAACTCTGTACCCAGCTATGAATTGCCGGATGAACCGTGTACTGTCTGTGCTACAAGGCTTCCATTGTGACTCAGCCTTTGGACTCTCCATACCTATGTGCTGGACGATCTGCTGGATGGTGGGCTGGAAGAGTTCATTCATGGCTTCAGAGGACATTCGCAGCATCCCCTGTGATGACCACTTCACGAAGTTCACACTACGACAAAGACACAAGTATGTGATTATTGCACGGCAGGGATGGAACATCATTCTTACTGTCCTGGTATCGGGAGGACCAGCTACTTCACTGCGCTGGAGGGTCTATTAATGCGGACTGCTGGAGGATCTATTGTTGCTGGGAGGTTAATTGTAGCTAGGAGGGATCTACTGTTGAGGGAGTTGTCTGTTCTTGCTGGCTGCTGGAGGGCTATTGATGCTGGCTGCTGGAGGATCTATTGTTGCTGGGAGGTTAATTGTAGCTAGGAGGGATCTACTGTTGAGGGAGGGGTCTGTTGTTGCTGGCTGCTGGAGGGCTATTGATGCTGGCTGCTGGGAGATCTATTGTTGCTGGGAGATGAATTGTTTCTAGGAGGGATCTACTGTTGAGGGAGTTGTCTGTTCTTGCTGGCTGCTGGAGGGCTATTGATGCTGGCTGCTGGGAGATCTATTGTTGCTGGGAGGTCAATTGTTGCTAGGAGGGATCTACTGTTGAGGGAGGGATCTGTTGATGCTGGCTGCTAGAGGGCTATTGATGCTGGCTGCTGGGAGATCTATTGTTGCTGGGAGATGAATTGTTTCTAGGAGGGATCTACTGTTGAGGGAGTTGTCTGTTCTTGCTGGCTGCTAGAGGGCTATTGATGCTGGCTGCTGGGAGATCTATTGTTGCTGTGAGGGCTCTACTGTTGAGGGAGGGGTCTGTTGTTTCTGGCTGCTGGAGGGCTATTGATGCTGGCTGCTGGGAGATCTATTGTTGCTGGGAGGTCAATTGTTGCTAGGAGGGATCTACTGTTGAGGGAGGGGTCTGTTGTTGCTGTTGTTGTTGCCTATTGTTTAGGCTGGAGAGGTGGGGAGGGGGTTATTGTTTAGGTTGGAGAGGTGGGGAGGGGGTTATTGTTTAGGCTGGAGAGGTGGGGAGGGGGGTTATTGTTTAGGCTAGAGAGGTGGGGAGGGGGGTTATTGTTTAGGGTGGAGAGGTGGGGAGGGGGTTATTGTTTAGGGTGGAGAGGTGGGGAGGGGGTTATTGTTTAGGGTGGAGAGGTGGGGAGGGGGGTTATTGTTTAGGGTGGAGAGGTGGGGAGGGGGGTTATTGTTTAGGTTGGACAGGTGGGGAGGGGGTTATTGTTTAGGTTGGAGAGGTGGGGAGGGGGGTTATTGTTTAGGGTGGAGAGGTGGGGAGGGGGTTATTGTTTAGGTTGGAGAGGTGGGGAGGGGGGTTATTGTTTAGGTTGGAGAGGTGGGGAGGGGGTTATTGTTTAGGGTGGAGAGGTGGGGAGGGGGGTTATTGTTTAGGTTGGACAGGGGGGGGGGGGGTTATTGTTTAGGTTGGAGTGGTGGGGAGGGGGGTTATTGTTTAGGTTGGACAGGTGGGGAGGGGGTTATTGTTTAGGTTGGAGAGGTGGGGAGGGGGGTTATTGTTTAGGGTGGAGAGGTGGGGAGGGGGGTTATTGTTTAGGTTGGAGAGGTGGGGAGGGGGTTATTGTTTAGGTTGGAGAGGTGGGGAGGGGGTTATTGTTTCAAGTCTCCCCCAGACAACCCATAGTTAACCCCTAGTGCTCCAGGAATCCTTTGTCATGCTATTACCTATTACATACATATTGTATAGTAGAAACATAGATTTTTTTATGAAGATAACTACAATAAACCTCTGATTTGAAAATGCTATATAAAGTAATACAAAACAATTCCAAGAAAAAAAAAAAAAAAATACTTACCCTACACCCCATCTTCTGGTGGGCTTTCATAGGGGAGGGTGACATCATTGGGGGTGATATCTTGGGAAAGCTGAAGATCTCAATCTATTAGAATGCACAGTACTGGCACAACTTCTGGCAAGATTTGGGATATTCAGATTTCAGATTGATGAAAACTGCATGAAATAACGAGACCTACAGAACTGAAAGTGATCCAATGTGCCTCCACTAGCTCAAAGGACAGGTCCAAATGGACTATTTTCTGCCTTCCCAAGAGATCGAGCCCAGTAAAGCCAACTGATTCCACACCACCAGATGGGGTGCCACAATTTGTAACCATCTCATTATTCCACAGACCCCCATGTGGCTCCTCCCAACCACTTGACTGTCAACCTCCAATCACTTAAAGGCTTCCAGCACATACTCTTACTTTTTAATTCTTTCTTGGGACTTTTCACCTCTCCTGTCATGTAGCCCATTCTGCTAATTGTATTGCAGTGGGTCCAAGAAATTTAGCAAGAGAAGACTGAGCAGGGCTGACACCACTCAGTCCATAAAAATGCTATCAGCCCCACCACCTGAGTGCATTTCTGGCAGATCAACGGGTATTTTTCTGTAGTTGCAGCTCTTTAATTGAATCAAATCTGGGGAAATGCTCGTGTTGCAGAGATCCAGTATACTGTTTGGGTTTTCCCTTCTGAGTGTAGGCCCTAAATTTTATTTGATTAGTATAGCCAATAATTTAAAATATGTTATGCACATTAATATAACCACCCTATTACGGGGCCCCTGGGATATATCGCTGTGATAGATGGGCTCCTGAACTCATGAAGTCTTCACAGACGGCTCAGAGATCACCTTGTCAATAGGGATTGCTGGATCGATACGCGGTCATCAGATAGGGTAAGAGTGAAAAACGATCACTCCCGGCAGACGCTTTGCCAGTGCTGAGTGATTGCCGAGGAGGCAGGAGCTGAATATTCATTACTCGTAGGTCGATAATTGAGTGATCTGCTTACAAGAGGTTCTGGAAATCAGCTGTTGTAGGTAATTGTTAAGTGGCTGGAAGATCTGAACTCTGTGAGGACACCAATGTGATCGAATTAAATTCCCACAGAGACAAATCTGGTACCTGACTAGGGAAGAGCGCCATACAGAAGTAAAAAGATAAGCTGATAAAATTGCTGATTACAATCAGTTTGTGGACACCTGACTATTGCACCAACTATACGACCAAAAGTATGTAAAAAACCTCTCCAGATGATGGAGTCCAAGTGTTTCCAGCAGTGGTGTATTTAGGTTTCGTGCTGCCCTAGGCAACACAAAATTTGCCCCCTAGGGAGAGAGCCTGACATTGATCAACAACACCCCTGCCCCCCACTCAAGAGAGCCTTCCACTACCATCGCCCCCATACACTGGCCATTCCCCTCCCAGCAAGAGAGAGAAATGTGCTCACCTTCACAGCTCTGGACATCCCCGGGAATGAGAGTCAAGCAGCCCGCAGCCTCTCTCAGATTCTATCTGGTCCCCAAGCCGCATGTGTCCCTTCTTCTGACAGTTCTGCCCCCCTGAAAAAATGCCTTGTTTGCCTTGTGGTAAATACACCACTGGTTTCCAGTGATGGGTAAAATGCTACACCACACAGACATTTTGGACCATTTTCCTCTTCCAACCTTGTGGTAACAGTTTTATGAAGGTCCTTTCCTGTGCATGCTCTGCCCCTGTGTACATAGCCAGCTCCATAAAGACATAGTTTAATGAGTTTGGTGTGGAAGAACTGAAGTGGTCTTCAGAGAGCCCTGACCTCAACCGTACCGAACACAGAGCCCTGACCTCAACCGTACCGAACACAGAGCCCTGACCTCAACCCTACCGAACACAGAGCCCTGACCTCAACCCTACCGAACACAGAGCCCTGACCTCAACCGTACCGAACACAGAGCCCTGACCTCAGCCCTACCGAACACAGAGCCCTGACCTCAACCGTACCGAACACAGAGCCCTGACCTCAGCCCTACCGAACACAGAGCCCTGACCTCAGCCCTACCGAACACAGAGCCCTGACCTCAGCCCTACCGAACACAGAGCCCTGACCTAAACCCTACTGAACAGAGAGCCCTGACCTTAACCCCTACTAAACACAGAACCCTGACCTCAACCCTACTAAACACAGAGCCTTAGCCTCAACCCTACTGAACACAGAGCCCTGACCTCAACCCTACTGAACACAGAGCCCTGACCTCAACCCTACTGAACACAGAGCCCTGACCTCAACCCTACTGAACACAGAGCCCTGACCTCAACCCTACTGAACACAGAGCCCTGACCTCAACCCTACTGAACACAGAGCCCTGACCCAACCCTACTGAACACAGAGCCCTGACCTCAATCCTACTGAACACAGAGCACTGACCATAACCCTACTGAACACAGAGCCCTGACCTCAACCCTACTGAACACATCACCCTGACCTCAACCCTACTGAACACATCACCCTGACCTCAACAATACTGAACACCTTAGGGCAGAATTGGAATACGGGGAGGTCTTCTCATCCAATGGCAGTACCAGATCTCACAAATGTTCCTGTGGCTGTATGGGCATAAATTCCCACAATCATACTCCAAAATCTTGTAGAAAGCCTTCCCAAAGGAGTAGAGGCTGGTATGTCCACCAAGGTGGGGGCAACTCCATATTAATGCCCATAATTTTGGAATTAGATGTCTACCAGGCACATATAGATGTGATGGTCAGGTGTTCACAAACTTGATGGGGACTTAACGTTTATGCGTGTTCTCATTGGCTGATTTGCCTGCTGCATGCATACATGAATTTTAGAGGATTCTAAAAATTTCTTTGTCTGAAGTTATAAGCAAATCTCAACTTTTATGGTAAAATTTGACTTGAGCCCCAGCTCTGCCCCTATCCGTACCTCACTATTGGTTGGCTATCACATCAGATGACTAACAGGGAGGCTGAGGAGGTCAGAGGAGTACTATGTAACTTGACTTTTACAGAATGCTGTAACTTCAACTGCAAAATCTTGTTTATCAATGAAGGTATCCTTGTGTCAGGACCTGTATCACCTGCTTGTGGCACTGTGCTTCCCACCTTGGAAGGTTGTAGTTCCAGTGTCCACCAGTAGGTGTCTACCAGCAGCAGATGTTTCCAGTAATCAGTCTCCACCTGATACTGGCTGCTGGGTGGGTATTTATCCTTTAGTAGTTAGTACTCTTCAGGTCAGTGTTTTCCTTTCTTTGCTGCCAGATACCGAGTGCCAATCCTGCTCCTGATCTTCATCCTGTACCCTGATGCCTTATTTCTGCTCCCCTTGTACCTGATGCCCCCATCCTATTTATTTCCTGCATCTCCAGTTACCCTGTTGATCTGTGGTCCCCATTGTTGTACATATTGTATATAGTTAGTTTATATATAGGCTTTCTGTTAGTCACTTAGACTTTTTGGTTAGATCTTTCTTGGCTGAGATCTTCCATACGACAGAAATGGGCCGCCATTTAAATGACACAAGACCATTCGAGCACTCGGGCACGGGTCAGTAGGGGGCCCATGAGATGCCCCTGGTACCTTTCATTGGCTTTTTCATAGGATTTTTTGGGTGTGGGCGATGACACAGGGGCCCCATGATCCCCTATTGCCCAGGGGCCCCATGAGTTGTCAGTCCACCCCTGGACACAAGCTTGTCTTCCTGCATTACCTGCTCTTCCGGAGTGCTGTCTCCACATTGTGCCCCTTATATCTGCGGTAGAAGTCAATGAAGGAGAAGGGGAGGGAGATGTTCAGGTGATTGGACCTCTGCGGGGCAGCCGTCCTCTTTCGGGCCTCAAATGCGATCATCAGGTCCACCCAAGCGGCTGGACGCTTCACCTTAAACGTCTGGATGAAATCTTCACTGAATATCTTGCACAGCATCATCTCAAAGGCAAGGTCAACCCCGACAGATCCGTACGGACCCCCTTCCAAAACAGAACATGGTCAGAGGTCAGGACAGGAGGTCATTATATTGGCTCATGGTCAGATTTACTAACTATGAAAGCTTAACTTCAACCACAGCTTTTTTTTTTTTTTTTTTTTTAGATATTGTGTGGAAATGTTAGAAATTCTGTTTTAGTTTCTGTCTGTGACCCCATTGGAAAGATTTTGTCTCATTTCCTGTCCACGTGACACCTGTACAAGAAATAGGAGGAGCGGTTGTCACCAGGACAGGAAGGCTTAGATTGCAATAAAAAAACAACTGGCCAAAATTGGAAACCCTTCCCTATTCTACTCAAATTGTCTTTTTGTATTTGTGTCTCCGTTGGAGAAATGTTGTCTTATGTGCTGTCCTGAGGAAGTGAGGTGGCAGCGGAAACCTGTCATTGGGCTCTAACCCTTACGTGCTCCATCCAGAACAATATAAACGATTTGACTAAAGCAGGCCATAGACGGGTCAAAAACCGGCCGTTTTTTTAAAAAAAAAATAGAAAAATCAGTCGTTCGATTGACCGACGTTACCACCAACGGTAAAAAAATCAGCCAATTTTCGTCCCGTCTACGGCCGGCATTTAACCCCATAATTACTTCTGTCCCTAAGAATTCCAGTCCGCTATTATATTCTATATGAAAAGTCTTGCGGTTGCAACAATGTATCCATTTCAGATACAGATGTTTTTATTTGGATACAAATATATACATTGTTGTAACCGCAAGACGTTTCATATAGAATATAATAGCGGACTGGAATTCTTCTTTTTCTTCTTCTTCTTTTTCTTCTTCTTATTCTTCTGCTTCTTCTTCTTCTTTTTCTGCTTCTTCTTCTTTAGCTTCTTCTTCTTTTGCTGCTTCTTCTTCTTTTGCTGCTTCTTCTTTTGCTTCTTCTTCTTTTTCTGCTTCTTCTTCTTTTGCTGCTTCTTTTTTGCTGCCTCTTCTTTCTTCTTTTTCTTCTTCTTTTTCTGCTTTTTCTTCTTTTTTTCTTCTGCTCTTGCTTCTTCTTTTTTCTTCTCCTTCTTCTTTTTCTTCTGCTTCTTCTTCTTCTTTTTCTACTTCTTATTTTTCTGCTTCTTTTTCTCCTTTTTCTGCTTCTTTTTCTGCTTTTCTTCGTTTTCTACTCCTTTTCTTCTTCTTTTCTTCTGTTTTTTCCTCTTCCTTTTCTTCTTCTTTTTCTTCTTCTTCTTCTTCTGCTTCTTCTTTCTTCTTTTTTTCTCCTCTTCTTCTTCTTTTTCTTCTGCTTTTTCTTCTTCTCTTTCTCTTTCTTATTTTTCTTCTTCTTTTTTTCTGCTTTTTCTTCTTCTTTTCTTCCTTTTCTTCTTCTTTTTCTTCTTCTTTTTATTTTTATTCTTCTTCTTCTTCTGCTTCTTCTTTTTCTGCTCTTTCATATTTTTCTTCTTCTGCTTTTTCTTCTTCTTCTGCTTTTTCTTCTTTTTCTTCTTCTTGCAAGTCACGGCTCATGCACATTTTTTTTATCGGTAAAACGATCGGCTGTTTTGCCCATCATTGCCGGGAAAATTGGCCGATCGTCAAAATCGGCCGCAAATTTGCCAACATGCCCGATTCAAAAAAATGTGCAAAAACCCTGAAAAACGTCCGACCAATTAACCCACTAACGATGCGATAATCAGCCGATTTTCGACCCGTCTGTGGCCGGCTTTAAATTAGGCTTTTCAATAAACTTCAATAACTTTTTCAGCATTTGGATTTTTCTTCATATGTGAAATGCTCCATATGTCCACACAGAGGACATTTCTCTTCCCTTCCTGTCATGGCAACCATCACATGGATGGCTAATGAGGGGAACTCAATTGTGGGAACACAGATCCCTTCCTGCGAGAAAAGACAGGAACCTTGGATGGTACTTTTGTTTTCTGTTAATAAAAACCGGTCGGGTACGGGCATTTCTAAGAATCTCAGGATTCACTCTTCATCTGTTGTAACAGAGCAACCATACCTCTCAGGAACGGGTGTGTGTGCAGATATTCTCTTGTATTCACTCTCCCTGTCTGAATACCTGAACACACACCCATTGCTGAGAGGTATTGTTGCTCTGAAAGGAGAGAATACAGCTGAATAACTGCACACACACACATTCCTGAGAGGTATTGTTGCTCTGGAAGGGAGAGATAACAAGTGAACAACAACACACACTCATCCCTTAGAGGTATCGTTGCTCCAACAGGGAAAGAATACCAGTGAAAAACTGCAAACACACCCTGAGAGGTATTGCTGCTCTGAAAGGGAGAGAATACAAGAGATCAACAACACATCTCAGGAACAGGTGTGTGTTCAGTTATTCACTTGTATTCTCTCCGTTCAGAGCAACCATACCTCTCTGGAATGGGTGTGCATTCAGATATTCTCTTGTATTCACTCTCCCTGTCTGAATACCTGAACACACACCCATTGCTGAGAGGTATTGTTGCTCTGAAAGGAGAGATTACAAGTGAATAAATGCACACACACACATACCTGAGAGGTATTGTTGCTCTGGAAGGGAGAGATAACAAGTGAACGACCACACACACTCATCCCTTAGAGGTATTGTTGCTCCAACAGGGAAAGAATACCAGTGAAAAACTGCAAACACACCCTGAGAGATATTGCTGCTCTGACAGGGAGAGAATAAGAGAGCTCAACAACACATCTCCGGAACGGGTGTGTGTTCAGTTATTCACTTGTATTCTCTCCTTCTCAGAGCAACCATACTTCTCAATAATGGGTGTGTGTTCAGATATTCTCTTGTATTCACTCTCCCTGTCTGAATACCTGAACACACACCCATTGCTGAGAGGTATTGTTGCTCTGGCAAGGAGAGAATACAAGTGAATAACTGAACACACATCCGTTCCTGAGATGTGTTGTTTCTCTCTTGTATTCTCCCCCTTTCAGAGCAGCAATACCTCTCAGGGTGTGTTTGCAGTTTTTCGCTGGTGTTCTCTCCCTGTTGGAGCAATGATACCGCAAAGGGATGAGTGTGTGTGGTTGTTCACTTGTATTCTCTCCCTTCTGGAGCAACAATACCTCTCAGGAATGGGTATGTGTGTGTGCAGTTATTCACCTGTATTCTCTCCCTGTTGGAGCAACAACACCTCTCAGGAATGGGTGTGTGTGCAGTTATTCACTTGTATTCTCTCCCTGTTGGAGCAACAACACCTCTCAGGAACGGGTGTGTGTGCAGTTATTCACCTGTATTCTCTCCCTGTTGGAGCAACAACACCTCTCAGGAACTGGTGTGTGTGCAGATATTCTCTTGTATTCACTTTCCCTGTCTGAATACCTGAACAAACACCCATTGCTGAGAGGTATTGTTGCTCTGGCAAGGAGAGAATACAAGTGAATAACTGAACACACACCCCTTCCTGAGATGTGTTATTGCTCTCTTGTATTCTCTCCCTTTCAGAGCAGCAATACCTCTCAGGAATGGGTGTGTGTGCAGTTATTCACTGGTATTCTCTCCCTGTTGGAGCAACAATACCTCTAAGGGATGAGTGTGTGTGGTTGTTCACTTGTTATCTCTCCCTTCCAGAACAGTAATACCTCTCAGGAATGGGTGCGTATGCAGTTATTCACCTGTATTCTCTCCCTGTTGGAGCAACAACACCTCTCAGGAATGGATGTGGGTGCAGTAATTTGCTGGTATTCTCTCTCTGTTGGAGCAACAATACCGCAAAGGGATGAGTGTGTGTGGTTGTTCACGTGTATTCTCTCCCTTCCAGAGCAACAATACCGCTCAAGAATGGGTATGTGTGTGTGCAGTTATTCACCGTTATTCTCTTCCTGTTGGAGCAACAACACCTCTCAGGAATGGGTGTTTGTGCAGTTATTCACTTGTATTCTCTCCGTTCAGAGCAACGATACATCTCAGGAATGGGTGTGTGTGCAGTTACTCACCTGTATTCTCTCCCTTACAGAGCAAAAATACCTCTTAGGAATGGGTATGTGTGTGTAGTTATTTACCTATATTCTCTCCCTGTTGGAGCAACAATACCTCTCAGGAATGGGTATGTGTATGGTTATTTACTTGTATTCTCTCCCTGTTGGGGTAACAATACCTCTCAGGAATGAGTGTGTGGGGGGTTATTCACTTGTATTCTCTCCCTTTTAAAGCACCAGTACCTCTCAGGAATGGATGTGTGTGCAGTTGATCACTGGTATTCTCTTCTCTCCCAGTTGGATCAACAATACCTCTAAGGGATGAGTGTGTGTGGTTGTTCACTTGTTATCTCTCCCTTCCAGAGCAACAATACCTCTCAGAAATGTGTGTATGTGCAATTATTCACTTGTATTGTCTCCTTTCAGAGCAACAATACCTCTCAGGATTGGGTGTGTGTGCAGTTATTGACCTGCATTCTCTCCCTGGTGGAACAACGACACCTCTCAGGAATGGGTGTGTGTGCAGTTATTCACCTGTATTCTCTCCCTGTTGGAGCAACAATACAGCACAGGAATGTGTGTGTGGTTATTGACCTGTATTCTCTCCCTTCCAAAGCAACAATACTTCTCAGGATTGGGTGTGTGTGCAGTTATTGACCTGTATTCTCTCCCTGGTGGAGCAACAACACCTCTCTGGAATGGGTGCGTGTGCAGTTATTCACCTGTATTCTCTCCCTGTTGGATCAGCAACACCTCTCAGGAATGGGTGTGTGTGCAGTTATTCACCTGTATTCTCTCCCTGTTGGAGCAACAATATCTCTCAGGAATGTGTGATTATTGACCTGTATTCTCTCCCTGTTGGAGCAACAATACTTATAAGTAATGAATGTGTGTGGGGTTATTCACTTGTATTCTCTCCCTTTTAGAGCAACAACACCTCTCAGGAATGGGTGTGTGTGCAGTTATTCACTTGTATCCTCTGTTGGAGCATTCACGTCAGCCTAGCGTCAGGCTGTGAGGCCCCCATGGAAGTTTTCCTATCCACTGCCTGACCTCAGGGCTGCTGGAGGAGAGAGGAAACAGTTTGTGAACAAAGCTTTTAGTTTTACTCATGACATTGTTTAATCATGTGACAGTTTTATCAACACTAACCTCAAGCAGGGGAGAAGAAAACGCATCCAAAAAGTGCTGGGATGTCATACAAATAGTGTAGACAAAAAGCATTCAGAGAGCTCATTGGCTCACGTTAGGTTGCTTCTAGGGCTAGCCACCAATGGGTAACAACCAGGTACCAAGAACTGATTGTACGAAAGACGGTCACCAATGGTCAATTGTAATGATCTGAATCTCCACGCATATATGGTTCTAATAAAGCAGCCTTAATGATCACTGATTTTCTAATTATTTACTTGTATTCTCTCCCTGCCCAGGCAGCATTGTTAGGATATAAGGCCTTCATTGGGGATGTCTTCTGTCCTGCCTGAAAAAAAAAACATGCACCAATGGAAGCTCCTTCCTTTTGGCGCTCCGCCAAGCCTCATTAACTTACTGGTTTGCAGTAAAAAAAACATCCAACACAATTTGGGTGCCAAAAACACACCTTTCATCAGGACTTCAAAAAAATAGGAAATTTGAAAAGACTCAAAATAGGACTTTCCAAAGGTGCTTACGCAAATGCTACTGGCCAGTAACCCTCCTGGTCCAGCAATTAGCTTCCCTACACAGATTCACACAGGAAATCCCTATTTTGAGTCCATTCTAGTTTCTTCTTTTAGCTAAAGCCTTGATGAAAGGGGAGAGTTTTTGGTCCCTGAAACGCGTTGGGTTTTTTTTCTTTTTTGTGAAAATCATTAAATTAATTTGGATTCTTTTATCAATTCTTTTATCTGGCACTCCTTCCATCGATGAGTGTTTTTTTTTTCAGGCAGGATAGAGGACATCCTCCTTAGAGCCTGACGATTGTGCTGGACAAGGAGAGAATACAAGTCAAAACATTAAAAAGAGAGGTAAGGCTATAATATAATAATCATTTAAGTGAGGAGATTCGGAACAATTTAAATGTTTGCTGGTGACTGATGGATTTGTTCCTGTTGGAGACCCTCTGGATTTGGGTTTTCTAGAATGGGTTGAACAGTGGAAGCCGATTGGCTGCTATATCAAGCTACATCCTCCTATCTTCATTCCGACTCTATAAACCGGCTCTCTATTATCAATCACTGTGCTCTGGGTCTCACCTGATGCTTTGTAGAGCTCCTTCAGTGTCCCCTGCGGTTGCTCGATCTGATGTACTGTAAGGTCTACCGTCCCGCCGCCGCAGTCTGCTACAATGTAGCGATCACCTAGACAGTGAACAGAGAGATTCAGAGAGAAAAAAAAATCTGGGTTGACACTAAAGAGAACATAAGATGACTCCTCGTATGTCATAGTGGAAATGCAGGGTCTTCTGCAATGGTGGTACCATGACCAGAAATGGTGGTTCCATGACCAGAAATGGTGGTTTCCATGACCAGAAATGTTGGTAAGATGACCAGAAATGGTGGTTCCATGACCAGAAATGTTGGTACCATGACCAGCAATGGTGGTTCCATGACCAGAAATGGTGTTTCCATGACCAGCAATGTTGGTACCAACCAGAGAGATGGAGCCAGCATGCTTGGAGCACCAACTTGGAGTAAAGGTAAAAACTGTTGATGGCATGCTCCCAAGGTTTTATGAACTTTAATAAGGCACTGTTATCTTGCCAACACCCTGTGATGACCTCTGTCACCCCTTTTATATTTTTCTAATGTTTCTTCTGCTGACAGGTTCTCTTTGGTAGAACGATGAAGCCAGCATGCCAAGTTGCAGTCCAGACCTCTACTGGAGTTCCATTGGACCAGTGATCCCCAAACTGCAGTCCTTTGTATGCCTTTATCTGGCCCTTGAGGCATTATTCCTGCCACTGACACCAACAATGAGCATAATTCTTGACTCCAACAATGGGGCATTATTCCTGCCACTGATACCAACAATGGGGCATTAAACCAGCCACTGACACCAACAATGGGCCTCTATACCTTCCACTGACACCAACAATGGGGCATAATTCCTTCCACTGACACCAACAATGCAGCGCTATTCCTCCTACTGGCATGAAGCCAGCATGCCAAGTTCCAGTCTAGACCTCTACTGGAGTGCCATTAGACCAGTGGTCTCCAAACTGTGGTCCTATGTATGCCTTTATCTTGCCCTTGAGGCATTATTCCTGCCACTGACTCCAACAATGGGTATAATTCTTGACTCCAACAATGGGCCTCTATTCCTTCCATTGACACCAACAATGGGGCATTAATCCAGCCACTGACCCCAACAATGGGCCTCTATTCCTTCCACTGACACCAACAATGGGGCATTAATCCAGCCACTGACACCAACAATGGGCCTCTATTCCTTCCACTGACACCAACAATGGGGCATAATTCCTTCCACTGACACCAACAACGTGGCACTATTCCTCCCACTGGCTTCATCTATTTCTCCCTCTAATACCAAAGATCAGGCATTGTTTACTACCACTGGGCACAGTCAGTCCCCCTAAAGTCTGAAGGACAGTAAAGTTTGCCCTTTCTTTGTAAAGTTTGAAGGCTCTTGCATTAGACCCTTGCATTTGAAGACCCTTGCATTAGACCCTTGCATTTGAAGACCCTTGCTTTAGATGTGACATTTTGGAGGCACCTTGGTCCCCTTTATCAAAGTAACCATCTGTTACCTCAATAAAGGGACCACAGCACCTTGAAATGTCATGTTGGCCTCCATTTGGAACTCCAGTAGAGGTGTGACGGCTCCTGGGGCTGCTAACCCCACATCCAAGATGGCGACACCCGGAAGCAGTCTCAGGGCTTTTGGATATCCACGCAAGGGAGGCTTTTTCAGGTAAATAACATGAATAAAATACATTAAATGGGAAGATGTTTTGAGATAAATGGTCTGGTGACAAGGTTTCTCCTGTACTTGTCTTGTAGTCCTCCATGCTCTCTAGTGTGCCGGTCAAGAGGAGACCTGGACAGTGCGATCCCCCTCCCCTGAACAGGAAATACAACATTTTAATTTTAGCTCCGAAGCCTCAGCTCAGCATCCTGCTCCACCCGCACATCCACTAACACTCCAGCAATGACCTCACCACGTCCCACCGAGGAGTCATAAAACACTTCACAGGACTGTGAATGAGGCCAAGGTCTCCTCGTCCAACCTCATATGAACTGCTACAGGCGATCTTCTTCCATTGCCGGTTATGACACCGCTGTTTTATTGGTCTACTACGGCTTTTATGGCCCATCCAAGCTACTGATCCTAAAAATAGATCTATGTATGAATTAAAGCTTGTGACCGTGTATTGGGACCTCCGACACCTCTTTAACACGCGTTATAGGATGTAGCGCCCCACAGCGCGACGCAACGCCAAGAGCATTTGCATCTCTGTATGATGTGCTGTAACAGTATGTCTGAGGAAGGATGAACATGAGGCATGTCAGTGCGTTGGGGCAGTATACATTGAAATGCGTGTTTTAGGTGTGGTTCGTACCAGGAGGCGGGACTAAGTATGCATGCTTTTTTGTGTTTCCATACATCCCCTATGCACTATATCTGGTCTCCCCGGACCCTGCATTCACTATATCCGCTCTCCCCGGACCCTACATTCACTATATCCGCTCTCCCCGGACCCAGCATTCCATATATCCGGTCTCCCCGGACCCTGCATTCACTATATCTGGTCTCCCCGGACCCTGCATTCACTATATCTGGTCTCCCCGGACCCTGCATTCACTATATCCGCTCTCCCCGGACCCTGCATTCACTATATCCACTCTCCCTGGACCCTGCATTCACTATATCCGCTCTCCCCCGGACCCTGCATTCACTATATCCGCTCTCCCCGGACCCTGCATTCACTATATCTGGTCTCCCTGGACCCCGCATTCACTATATCCGGTCTCCCCGGACCCCGCATTCACTATATCCGCCCCGGACCCCGCATTCACTATATCCGCTCTCCCCGGACCCTGCATTCACTATATCTGGTCTCCCCGGACCCTGCATTCACTATATCTGGTCTCCCTGGACCCCGCATTCACTATATCCGGTCTCCCTGGACCCTGCATTCACTATATCTGCTCTCCCCGGACCCCGCATTCACTATATCCGGTCTCCCCAGACCCTGCATTCACTATATCCGCTCTCCCCGGACCCTGCATTCACTATATCTGGTCTCCCTGGACCCTGCATTCACTATATTCGCTCTCCCAGGACCCTGCATTCACTATAACCGCTCTCCCCAGACCCCGCATTCACAATATCCGGTCTCCCCGGACCCTGCATTCACTATAACCGCTCTCCCCGGACCCTACATTCACTATATCCGCTCTCCCCGGACCCAGCATTCCATATATCCGGTCTCCCCGGACCCTGCATGCACTATATCTGGTCTCCCCGGACCCTGCATTCACTATATCTGGTCTCCCCCGGACCCTGCATTCACTATATCCGCTCTCCCCGGACCCTGCATTCACTATATCCACTCTCCCTGGACCCTGCATTCACTATATCTGGTCTCCCCGGACCCTGCATTCACTATATCCGCTCTCCCTGGACCCTGCATTCACTATATCCGCTCTCCCCGGACCCTGCATTCACTATATCCGCTCTCCCCGGACCCTGCATTCACTATATCTGGTCTCCCCGGACCCTGCATTCACTATATCTGGTCTCCCCGGACCCTGCATTCACTATATCTGGTCTCCCCGGACCCTGCATTCACTATATCTGGTCTCCCCGGACCCTGCATTCACTATATTCGCTCTCCCCGGACCCTGCATTCACTATATCCGCTCTCCCCAGACCCCGCATTCACTATATCCGGTCTCCCCGGACCCTGCATTCACTATATCCGCTCTCCCCGGACCCTACATTCACTATATCCGCTCTCCCCGGACCCTACATTCACTATATCCGCTCTCCCCGGACCCAGCATTCCATATATCCGGTCTCCCCGGACCCTGCATTCACTATATCTGGTCTCCCCGGACCCTGCATTCACTATATCTGGTCTCCCCGGACCCTGCATTCACTATATCCACTCTCCCTGGACCCTGCATTCACTATATCTGGTCTCCCCGGACCCTGCATTCACTATATCCGCTCTCCCTGGACCCTGCGTTCACTATATCCGCTCTCCCCGGACCCTGCATTCACTATATCCGCTCTCCCCGGACCCTGCATTCACTATATCTGCTCTCCCCGGACCCCGCATTCACTATATCCGGTCTCCCTGGACCCTGCATTCACTATATCTGCTCTCCCAGGACCCTGCATTCACTATATCCGCTCTCCCAGGACCCTGCATTCACTATATCCGGTCTCCCCGGACCCCGCATTCACTATATCCGGTCTCCCTGGACCCTGCATTCACTATATCCGGTCTCCCTGGACCCTGCATTCACTATATCTGCTCTCCCCGGACCCTGCATTCACTATATCCGGTCTCCCCGGACCCTGCATTCACTATATCCGGTCTCCCCGGACCCCGCATTCACTATATCCGGTCTCCCCGGACCCTGCATTCACTATATCTGGTCTCCCCGGACCCTGCATTCACTATATCTGGTCTCCCCTGGACCCCGCATTCACTATATCCTCTCTCCCCGGACCCTGCATTCACTATATCTGCTCTCCCCGGACCCTGCATTCACTATATCTGGTCTCCCACAGTACACAGAACATGGAAATGTAATTATTTTAGTAAATATAAACTGCTAAATCCCTTTTCTCATCAGCAGTATATTGCAGTCTTGTGACTTCTATCAGTGTCCAGCAGAGCACTGGGTAAAGATTGTAGGAAGAGTTTTAATTTTGCTCTAGGAGGATGCAGAACCCCTGACCTCTGTCTGGACAGTGCTGATTGGCCCTGTGTTGATCACACGCACTCTCACAAAAAAAAAAAAACACCACTTTAGCAATACACACCAAATTGAGCATGTGCAGCTTCTCCCCAAGACTCTGTTCTATCACCAGATGAGTTGGGGACAGTAGAAGGGGAGGATCAGAGAAGTCAGGATCAAACATCCTTTTTACACAATGCAGAGGATTAACCCCTTAGGTTCCACAGTGAGTATAACAAGCATGCTTTCTTGCATATACAGACTGATTGTACTGTTGTGGGTTCAGGAACATATTAAGAACACGCGTGTTTGCCGGCACTCATCATACGTTACAGTGTGAATGAACCTTTAATGCATTTTTTAACCTCTTGACTCCCCCACAACGCACATGTGCAGTGGCTGAGGTTTCTGTGCTATGAGCTCAG